TATTTGAAATAGAAATCTTTTGTAACATTGTAAATGTCTTTACTGTCACTTTTGATCAATTTAATGCGTCCTTGATAAATAAAAGTATTAATTTCTTTTTAAAAAACTCTTCTGTGGGTGGCACAGAAGTTACAGCATAAAGTAGGGATTCCCAAACTGTTTGAGCTAAAATATTTTTTTTGAAATCCCCCTGAGATTTTAAGTTATTATTTCAATTTAATGACATGGTTCTCTGATGCAGCTAAACAAATAAAATATTTCATAGCTTTTTTTTTTTTTTAAAAAGGACAAAAAGTTTTATTTTAATTGTTTTCATTTTAAAATGGTTCAATTAAATTTTACATTTTTATGGCTTACATTTAAAATTTTTATGATTATATTTATAAGTACATTTTTATTTTTAAAATAATTATTAATTTTATTTAATTTTTAGTTCGTTTTATTTTAACTGCTTTTATTCTAAAGTAATTTAATTTATTTTGATTATTTTTAATTTTTAAATTATTTATTTTCATTTTTAAAATTGAACAACTCTGACATTTTATTTTTCAGGATTCACAGATGAATAGAAAGTTCAAAAGAACAGCATTTATTTGAAATATAAATCTTTTGTGGCATTATATAAATGTCTTTACCGTCACTTCTGATCAATTTAATGCATCCTTGATGAATAAAAGTATCATTTTCTTTCTACTTCTGCCATTAAATCCTAAAGACACTCACGATATGAATAGGAGAAGGTGCCGTCACCAGCCCATGGAAGGAAATGACATAATCAATGGTGACGTCACCCAGACTCGCCCACCAGCGAGCAACACAGAGCTCCAGAGTGCGTCCTGGCTGAGAAAGACACAGATGAACATGTGACCCGACAGACAGACAAACCACATATGAAAAAATATATGTGTTATAGTTTGTAGGGCTGCCCTCGACTATGGTGCGTTTCCCAAAAGGAACTATGGTCGCAAGTTCCATCGTTACCAATAGAGTTCACTGGAACTAACGACCATAGTTAGCTAACGATGCTTTTGGGAAACGCACCCCTGGTCGACTAGTAGTCGTTCATTTTTAAGCAATTAGTCGACTAATCTCACGTTTATTAATAAACCATGTAATTCCTAAAAATGAGCCTTTAATTGCCTACAGCCTATCAGCGCTCAAACGCCCCTATAGATATATTTTTCATGTGTGTAACGTAAGTTTACACGCTCATGTTCACAGAGACCGAGACGGCAGAAAGCAAATCCTGTTTGCTTTCATTATTTTACAAAAGCACAATTTTTGTTGTTATTTTGAGTGCCCACAAATAAACGTAGTCTTTACATATTCGAAAAATGTATTACTCTTATCTGTATGAACAAAAATGACTGAGTATTTTAAGTCAAGTCAAGTTTTCAAGGTTTATGTTAGATTAAGCGACCGTGTAAAGTTGTTGCTACTAACATATTTCAGATGGTAAGACATATATATGACCCTGGACCACAAAACCAGTCATAAGGGTCAATTTTTCTGAAACTGAGATTTATGCATCATCTCTGAAAGCTGACTACTTGAAAAGCAACTATTTGAAAATCTGGAATCTGAGGGCGCAAAAAAAATCTAAATATTGAGAAAATCATCTTTAAAGTTGTCCAAATGAAGTTCTTAGCAATGCATATTACTAATCAAAAATTAAGTTTTGATATATTTACAGTAGGAAATTTACAAAATATCTTCATCTTCAAAACATTTTTTTCTGCCTCTTCTCGTCGAATAACAGTTAGTCAGCTATTAGTGGGCAGCCCTAATAGTTTGCGTATTGTGTACCAGCACAGGAAAAGCCTCCGTGAGCGAGCCCTTCTCCAGGAGAGACGAGAACTTATAAAACTCATTGACTCGATACGCTCGCTGCTTCACCAGATGAACCGCATGCAGGACGAACTTCGACGACACGTCTCCAGAATGAGACGTTAACGAGATCTCTGGAAGAGACTGAATAGTTAGATCACAAATCAATGTTTGGGAGAATCCTGCAGTGATGCAGCATCACATCACCTGCCCATGATGCTCCACGAGGGACGGTAATGAAATGCCGCCGGATCTGTCCTGGTCTGAAGTGGAGGTCTGTGAACGTGATCTCCTGACTGCGACTGTCAGCTACTCTATAAGAGACAAACACACGTCACAGGCGAGCAGAAACACAGATGCGAGCAGAACAGAGCGGTCGGGCGTACCTCGCAGGGATTATAACCGTTATAGGCACTCTGAAGAGAGGACCGGCGCTGAGAGCCGACGTGTCATATCCACACACCTGGAAAACACACACACACACACACACTATGTACTGTACACACACACACACTATGTACTGTACACACACACACTATTTACTGTACACACACACTATGTACTGTACACACACACACTATTTACTGTACACACACACTATGTACTGTACACACACACACTATTTACTGTACACACACACTATGTACTGTACACACACACACTATTTACTGTACACACACACTATGTACTGTACACACACACACTATTTACTGTACACACACACTATGTACTGTACACACACACACTATTTACTGTACACACACACTATGTACTGTACACACACACACTATTTACTGTACACACACACTATGTACTGTACACACACACACTATTTACTGTACACACACACTATGTACTGTACACACACACACTATTTACTGTACACACACACTATGTACTGTACACACACACACTATTTACTGTACACACACACTATGTACTGTACACACACACACTATTTACTGTACACACACACTATGTACTGTACACACACACTACGTACTGTACACACACACACAACGTACTGTACACACACACACACACACTATGTACTGTACACACACACACACTATTTACTGTATACACACACACACTATGTACTGTATACACACACACACTATTTACTGTACACACACACATACACTACGTACTGTACACACACACTACGTACCACACTCTATACTGTGCACACACACACACACACACACACACACACACACACACACACATATGTTCATCATAGGGCTGGGCGATATGGCAAAAAATTTTAATCTCATAAGTTGGATCAGTCTGAAAAGATATAGCACACTAAGTCAGAACAGTCTGAAGAGCTGGGCTGAGTTTGGTGGTTCTAGCTTAAAAGCTCTAGGAGTAGCGTTCAGAAATTTAGTCTAAGAAGAATAATAATAAAAAGCTTAAGTAGCAGATCAGTAGGTTGGGCTTTCTCAAGCCAACCCAATTAATCGCTAAAATCTGAAAAATCGCACAGCCCTAGTTCTTCATCATCATTAGAGTTAAAGACAGTCAAATAGTGTGAGCGTAGATGGATCTGTGGACGTGCCTCGGTGTAGTGCAGCCCCTCTCGCAGGCCCTGCGGGTCGATGCGAACGTTGACGTGCCGGCACTGATTCATGAGCTCCAGGTGCGACGGACAGTGAACCCAGGCAGCGTTGCAGACGAGAGCCAGATGCAGCTGCAGCGAGATACGGGCCGAGTTCTCTGGAGAGAAAACATTGGGTAGAAACTGTTTGTTTTGAAAGAAATGTGTATTTTTATTCATCAAGGACGCATTAAATTGCTCAAAAGTGCCAGTAAAGACATTTATAATGTTACAAAAGATTCCAATTTCAAATAAATGCTACTCTTTTGAACTCTCTATTCATCTGTGAATCCAGAAAAATAAAATGTGTCACAGTTTCCACAAAAATATTGTGCAGCACGACTGTTTTCAACATTGATAATAATCAGAAATGTTTGTTGAGCAGCAAATCAGCATATTAGAATGATTTCTGAAGATCATGTGACACTGAAGACTGGAGTAATGACGCTGAAAATACAGCTTTGATTACAGGAATAAATTACAGGTTAACAGATATTTACATAGAAAACTGTTATATTCAATTGTAATACTTCACTGTTTTACAGTATTTTTGATCAAATAAATGCAGCCTTGGTGAGCAGAAGAGACTTCTTTCAAAAATATAAAAACTTTTATCTTTTAAACCAAAGAGTTCAATCTAATCAAAAACTGACTATTGTACTCAATACTGGTGTATACTGCATATTTTTATGATTATTAGAATATCGCATCATTAGTTTTGCAACATGTTAACAAACTCTATCATAATAAATTGAGTTATTCTAGTAACAGATACACGATCCTAGTTTTTGATAATATTTTGATTTTGTTTTTACAGGTTCTGTTTTAATTTTAATTTCATTTAAAGTTTTAATTTTGTTGTGCGTTTTTGCCATTTATATTATCTTTTTTAATATGTCTACATATTTTTATGAAGTTTTACTTTTAGTTTATTTAGATATTTAAGTACTTCATCTTAAACTAAACACCTTAGCAACTACCTAAAAGTTTTTTTTCTATTTAATTTTATCTCAGTAGGTTTATTTTTTTCAGTTAATGTTTATTTAATGAAAGTAACGATTAGAACTCTGGTATACATGACATGATTTATCAGAGCTCCTTGTTCAAAATCAGTCCAGGTTAAAAAGGTCAAATAATGAACAGTAAATAACTGCATCCTTGTTCTGGCATTATCCTGATTAATCTCAAACTCTGAGAGATCTGTAAACATATTCTCCACTGCATTCAGCTCCACTATGAACTGTAGCATGTACCTGTATTCTCTGGAAACACGGGCTCGATGCCGACCCCGTGATCGGACGGGCCGGTGACCTGTGTCGGGCCCCTGAGGTAGATGCCTCGTTGCGATCCCACGGTCACGGTGAAGCCGAGGCTGCTGGTGGGCAGCGACGCATGCTGCATGAGGTAGTCGAAGGCCCGCTCCACCTGCGCATCACACAAACGCGGTCATGAACACACGAATGCATGCATAATGAGTAGACAATATATGCAATATATCACGTTAATGAATAGGCACGATATAGTTATAGTAGGCACTTCAAAATACCGTGAATAATTACAAATTATTCAGATTTTTTGAATGCATTTTAAGAATATTTTTTAGGGATGCACGATATTGGATTTTTGCCGATATCCGATATTTTCCAATTCATTTTGGCCGATACCGATATATTTCCTTTTGTTTGGAAACAACAACAAGTCTCTCCTGTGCCACACTGCTGACGTGATCTAATCACTAGCACACCCTGAGCACATGCGAGTTAACGTATTCCTCTTATAACATATCGGCACAATTTTTCATATCGGCCGATGCCGATATTTACATTTAAAGCCATTATCAGCCGATTCCGATATCAGTCCGATAATATCGTGCATCCCTAATATTTTTCCCATCAACTGGTCACAACACCGCTGTATGCTGCGTCAAAGATGCATCCGCTCTCTGATGCAAACAAGCACGGATGAGAAGCGCACTTTCACTCTCTGACAGCAGATGGCGCTAAACAGCAGAAATGCAGCCATTACTCCGGAAACCCCGGAAACAAAGCAGCTGCGCTACTTTCTAAAGCGTATTTAAAGCTGTGAGCATGGCACTGCGTCATTACGTCATGTCTGTAAACATAAAGAATTTGTCCCGGCTACTAGGCTAACGCATGTGAGGATCCTGCAGGTGGCGGATTTATAGCCTTTTCTCACAGCAACCAGAATAATTACATTTATTTTGATGGCGGATTGTAATCCAGAAAGGATTATGTGTTTATGAAACTCATGTGAATGAAATTAAATTATATTCCAGTTATAAATGTGCATCTCATTACAGATAGCCTGGGATTACACAAGATTTGTATTTTAAAAACAACCTGTTCAAAGGGGGCATAATTAGATTTTTGAGTTAAAATAATTTCTTAATATGAAATTCGAATGGTATGACAATTAAAGAGATTAGACTGAACAGAAATTGAAATCTACACGCTAATACAAACTATAGGCAATGCTGATGTTGTTAACATTAATAATTTGAGAATAAAGTATAACAATAATAATAATTTGAACGGTTTGATGTGATATGAGCTAACCAATCTTTAGATTAAATCACCATTGGTAGTGCGATTTATTGTAATGCTTTTTTCCTCAGTTGGTCAGAACAAATGTGGCAGACTTGTTACTTGTTCAGATGACAATATATGGTGAAAATTCTTATTTGGGTCATATATTCCAAGACGTAGGCTAGAATCTGTGATTGCGAAGTACAGTAAATATCCGATAACTATTATCGATTCTTACATCCCAAGAATCGATTAGTCTAGCCTGTTTTCAGTTAATGGACGGAATGTTGAAGGGCACTTCCCATCCAATATAATTGCAATAAGCATTGTGCGTTGGTACTTTTAATATGAAACAAAGTCTCAGATTTCAAATGCTGTCCATTGTATTGCAGTATTTAAACAATAAATGCGGCGCTGTTTAATGTGGAGTGACAGATCACTGTAGCGCCTCAGTGAATTGATCATCTCCTCCGCTTTAATACTAGTTATAGCACAAAATAAACATGACTAAACATCCGAAGGCAAGTTAAAAGAAAGAGTACAACTTTCTCATATAACATTAATCGCTTAATCAGTGTTTCAGCCGCGCAAAGACGTCAATATAACGGCTTGTAAACAATATGTCACGTAACGTCACATTTACCTCAGAAAAACATATTCGGTGACCATAAAATCATTAGTCAGACAGAAAAATAAACTGTAGAGAGGGTTCTTCAATGTTTAATTTATGTTTGAATAAATCCATCAAGTTTTTATGACGGTCACCATTTAAAATGTTTATATTTCAAAAAAACGAATTGAGGTAGAAATATTATTATGTAATTATAACTTTATTATTTAAAATTTTAGCAGTTGTATAGCCTACAAATCAGTCAATTTTAACCTTCAATATTATAGTAATGTAGTACCAACTGACTCTCAGGTGTATTTTACGGTATTAATTTTGCATGTACTGTACCTGATACATATCCAAAATAATCGAATCGAAAGATTATGAATGAGAATCAAATCGAATCGTGAAATTTGTGTCAAAACCCAGCCCTAGTTTAAATAGCCATTCAGATTTTTTTTTATCACAGCGCCAAATATTTAGACTTAATAGGCTATTTATTTTCAAACTTTTTAAAAATTTTAATCTGGATTACAACATGCCCTAGATATTGTTTGACAATGTTATGATTCTTTATTGCTCCGTCACACTTTACATTAAGGCTCTATTAATTAACATTAGTTAATTCATTAGTAAACAAACTGTCAATGGAAAATTCTTCTTCGTGAATGAATTCTCAATGATTTCAAGCAATTTCAAAATGTAATAACACGTGGTTAAAATAAAAAGTTGCAACTGTTACTTAATGAACTAACGGTTGTATTTTAAACAAAGAATAATAACTTCTGTAGCAAATGTAGCTATTGCGCATTATTAATGTTAATGCATTAACTAAGGTTAACTAATGAGATCTCATTGTAAAGTGTTACTTATTGATTGACCTTTTATCACTTTTATCTGTGTGAAATTTTTTACTTTATTCTTTGTGTATTACTTTATTGTATGTAAATGTTCAGTTCTTTTGTTATAAGAAAAAAGTCATTAAACCTGTTATACTGTATTACGACAACACTTTTTTACAACAAAATTTCAATACCATGATAATACCGTATACCGTGATGAAAGCATTAGCAATTAATCGCAACATGAAAATGTGATACCATTCTTTGCCTTATAATGAGCATCACTGCTCCGCTCCTCAGTACCTGAATGATGCCGTGACCCTGTGCAAACACCTCTATATCCTCCACTTTCAGAGCCGTGTTCTCCAGAGCCCTGCGCACCGCCGGCACCGTGGGCTGCACGCCGTTCTGCTTCAGACCTGAATAAGAAAAAAGTTATTAAACCTGTTATACTGTATAATGACAGCACTTTTTTTTAACTAAATTTCAATACCATGATAATACCGTATACCGTGATGAAAGCATTAGCAATTAATCGCAACATGAAAATGTGATACCATTCTTTGCCTTATAATGAGCATCACTGCTCCGCTCCTCAGTACCTGAATGATGCCGTGACCCTGTGCAAACACCTCTATATCCTCCACTTTCAGAGCCGTGTTCTCCAGAGCCCTGCGGACCGCTGGAACTGTGGGCCGAACGTCGTTCTGCTTCAGACCTGACAAACACACACACACACACACACACACACACACCTCAATATTCAAGATTGCAAGTGTCATATTGATTTAATAAGTTCACATTTTGAGCTTTTTTTCACATTTTTGCTTTATTTTGTCAAGAAAATTTCCACAGCAGAACTCTTCCGTCTCTGAACAACACACTGAATTAATCTGTGTTTTAAATAAATAATTTTAATGAACGATTCTGTGGCTGAATGAATCATCCGTTTGAATGAATCGATTGAGTGAATAATTCAATGACTCACTCATTAAGACTTGCCGCCACCTACTGGTGGTTACAGTTTAAAAATTAAAATGATCATTTTATTTTTCTAGTATAATTTCATAATTAAATAAAAGGCCTAATTTAAAAAAATCTCATAGCATTAACAAACGATCTGTGTAAATACACCTTAACGCCACTTTAGCATTTTTGTGCCGCTTCTGCAGTGCAAAGATTTGATTGATAAGAGTTTTTAATTATTCTAATTACATTTATTGATTAAAATGTAGGAATTAGATGCATACAAGAAGCAAACATGTCATAAGTTCGGAAAACATTGCCATTATAAAGACAAAAATACCCTGGAAGTCCATTTAAGTTGGCACATATCACCTCATAGAGGAAAATTAGGGCTGCACGATATTGGAAAAAACTCACATTGCGATATTTTGTTTTTCTGCGATATATATTGCGATATGAAAAAAAAAAAATTTCACCAGATGACTTGGGGTGAAAAATGATTGGGGTGATTTTGTAGTCGAGTAAATCAGCATAGAAAATAAACAAATTACAAGCACACATAAATATAATAGAACACTAGGGCTGCACGATAAATCGCATGCGATATTTAACGCGCATCTTATCAGTGAAGCCGGTTCTGTAATCAGCGGTAAATCTCCATCACCTGCGGGCTTTCACATTGAAGTGAGTAAAGTAAAGTGGCGTGACATGTGGCCAAGTATGGTGACCCATACTAGGAATTAGTGCTCTACATTTATCCCATCCAAAGTGCACACACACAGCAGTGAACACACACACACCGTGAACACACACCCGGAGCAGTGGGCAGCCATTTATGCTGCGGCGCCCGGGGAGCAGTTGGGGGTTCGGTGCCTTGCTCAAGGGCACTTCAGTCGTGGTATTGAAGGTGGAGAGAGCGCTGTACATTCACTGCCCCCACCTACAATCCCTGCCTGTACGAGACTCGAACCCGCAACCTTTGGGTTACGAGTCCGACTCTCTAACCATTAGGCCACGACTTCCCCGAGCAGCATTAACTACACAGAGCCGTTGTTCACTAACGAGCTGCGCAAAACCACGTTCATATTGGCGCGATTTTTTGCGCAGCTCCTCAGTGAACAACGGCTCTGTGTAGTTAATGCTGCTCAATGTGAAAGCCCGCAGGTGCTGGAGATTTACCGCTGATTACAGAACCGGCTTTCTGACAAGATGCGCATTAAATATCGCATGCGATTTATCGTGCAGCCCTATAGAACACAGATACAAATTAAATGAACAGTGCTTTACATTTTTCAGGTAAGTCTAACAGTTTTCAGGCACAGAAATTGAATAATCAAATGTAAAATAACTCTTCACTGTATAAATTAAATCTAATAAAATCTGTGTTAAAGCTACAAAATTTTCATGTGGCTTCTTACACAGAATAAGACACGCAACATATTTCATAGTATTCTAAGCAGTGATAAAGGCACTGCATTATTATATACTTTATTACAATGAAATTCATAATAAGGCGAACTCAGATAAATCATATATTATAAAACGGATAGTTCCGGTCCTTGATTCTGATTGGCT